GATATGGGCACCAGTGACCCCTGTGACCCAAAAAGGAAGAAGCGGGTAAAAGATGATGGGTGGATGGATGGATGGATGGATGGATGGATGGATGGATGGATGGACTCCTTTCAGTCAAAGGAATACTGACGGTCCTCTGAGTTCTACCTGGTTGTCTGAGTTCCTTTCCAAATCTCTGAGGCTGAGCTCAGTGGTGTTTGCTGGTATGGGCGATATATGCAGCTACCCAGGGCAGCATTTCATCAAGGGCAGCACAAGCGTCCAGCCCGACCCCTGCCCTCTCCTAAAAAAAAAATGAATGCATTACTTCATATAGCCTGTCTAGTCTACATATTGGTTTCCTATTGCCCACTTGCGGGGAGTGGTGCAGTGTAGTGTAGCTTCTGTTAAGGTCGGACACACAGGTTGTGAAAAAATGGGAAGAGGATGTCTGCATCCCTGTATCCCTTGCTGGGACAGGGATGCATCTAATTGCTAAGTATGACTATCACGCCACTGATTGCTTCCAAACAAAGCACATTTCATTCATAAGAAGTGGGTAAAAGATAATGGATGGATGTAACTAACAAACAAAGCTATAATTTTATATATTAAAACTTTGCAGGAATAATCCTTTCCTGTCAACAAAATACGTCTTGGTGGACCTTCTGTGTTTGTTCTGAGAGAAGCCACTACTGTAAATAAATATTTTAAAGTTAGAAATATCTATTGGTCAGCATTGGACTAAGTTTGCCTTGTTTGTGACTTTTGTGTCAGCACTGTTACTGTTCTGTGTGTGTGATACTCTTCATTTCTGGGTCCAACTCTCATCAAACTGTGACAGTCTTGATTTGACTTCAATTAAAAACAATGTGTACTTTCCTTGACTCTGTCTGTTTCTGTCCAAATAACAACCCTCCTTAGTCCAATGGTTACAATGAGCCTAGCTCTTAGCACAGTGGAGTGAAGCAGAACCTCAATTCATATTCACGTGTTTTGAAAAGTTGTTGCCTATTAAAAAAGTTTTACTTTTTAAAAGTATGATTGATTGAATGCATCATTCGGGCCAGTGAGAATGTTTTTTGATTCAGCGTCAAATCAATCAGCTTTTTGACTTTTGTAATTCGGTGCTGTAAATTTTCAAATTCACTTCAATTCAATTCAAAAATACTTTATTAATCCCAAAGGGAAATTAAGTGTTGTCGTAGCTCATCATTATGGTTTCATTCAAGAGTTGAGATGCTGATAGCTCTGGGCAGGAAGGATCTCCTGCAGCGAATTTGAAGAATCTGGCCACAGATACTGATCCGTCCACCCGGATGCAGCTTGCTGTCAGATATGACGGGCCTCTCGGTCCTCCTGGGCAGCAGGACTGCCCAAATGCCGGGCAGAATTCCTCCCAGCAGTACGCTAAGCTCCTGGTCGCCATGGACAGCTTCAGGAACTGCAGCAGAGGGCGTGGCACGTAGGGACATCAGTGACTGCAGCTGGTATAGGGATATTGGTGACTGCACAAATATCTGGATCAGTCTGGATTGACAGACTGAAGGTGCCGGGCGATGATCCCGGTCCTCCTGTTGTCATGAGCCGAGTTTCCCACCAGCTCCAGAATCTCGATGGTCAGGTACTCGAGCACCGCCGCCAGGTTGATGGGAATTCGTCCATGGCACCTCCTTTTTAACTCATTTGGGATTTGGGGCAGTAGTTGAGGTATTTGAGCTTTTGAGATGTTAATCAGCTGCTTCTGGTTATTAAAAAAACACCTTATTGCCATGGTTACGCATCATAATAAATGCCCAAAAGTAAAAAGGTTTCCAGCGGCACAGTATCTGATACTGGAGGAAGTAATCATCCAAAAAAAGTGATTTACATCCAGAAAAAAAAGGAGGAATTAAAGCTTTCAAAAGCAATAACCCAGAATGAATGTAACAGAGATACTCCAACATGCAGCAACCCCGAGCAGCGCAATTCTAGAACTCGTAGGCATATGGCACTTAGAGGACTTCATGAAACGTCAAGAGGAGGACAGTTCATGTAAGACATAAAATCTCCTCTTTTTGATCTTTATTTTCCTTTTTTCTCACATATTGTTTGCTTTTCAAAGCAGTAGAGGACCCGCCGGCTTCCTTGAATATCTAAACTGCAAAAGTAAACAAATTCCATTCAAGCAGAGGAGGTGGGACAGTGTGGGATTAGGCTTTCACACCAACACATTTAATACACACATAGACAAATACCTCTAGTGGTCCAACACAAAACACAAGGTCATGACATTTTCATGTGAGAACAGGATAAAAATAGAAAGAGGGCCAAGACTGAGGCACAGCAAGTCAGACGGCTGATACGCAGAAGGACTGAGTCAAAGGGATGAAAGCAGGCAGTTTGGGGGAATGTGTGTGTCTCTGTCTTTAAGAGGGAAGACTACAGGGAGGACATCAGTGAGATGATGTTCTTTGTTTTTTTTTTTTTTTTGGGGGGGGGGGGGGGGGGGGGGGGTGTTGCTGCAGGTGGGGAACACCAAGCCTGCAGGTCCCTGTGGATGTTGTTCAGTGCCACACACTGAGGCTAAAAATAACCTCCTTTCTTCTATTTCAGCTGGATTTGTTCTCTTTTTTTCTTTTCGCTTGCGTACACAAACACAAACGCACACACAGATACACTGCTGGCTTGCATGTGCTGAGTTCTTGCACATGTGTCCACCCTAGTCAGCTTCGGTTCGATGCACTAATGTGAAGGAAAGCATATATTTGAATCCTCTACCAAATGCCCTTATAGCTATCATGTTCTGTGAGAGCTGAACTCAGGGTGCAGACAGACACGGGGGACTTGAGGTTAAAATAAAGAAAAAAAACAGATTTATTTATGAAACACGAAAACCTGAATGGAAAAAAATAAATAAAAAAAGATTATGGAAGACTCATAGGAACAGAACATGACGGCTGGGGAAAGCACAATCCACGGACAAGGGAGTGACACAATTATAAATATTTTTAAATAACAGAGGAAAACACTGGGAAAGCTGAAAACACAAATAAAAACTGACTCAGAGAAAAGTAAATACAATGATCACAAGAAGACAAACACCACAAAACACAAGAATCCTGACAATAGCAACATTTAACACCTAAAACAATCTACATAAAGATAAATCAATAAATATTTTTTCTTTGAAAGTGCAGTGTGAATGCTGATTGCTGAATGACTTTGCTGAGTTAAAGCTAAAAGAAACATCACCATCTAAAACCTAAAATAAGCTCAACAATCGTTAAAAGTATCTAAAAGCTAAAGTATTAAAGGCTATAAGTTCAAAGTACCAAACAGGACAAAAAGTTAAAGTATCAAATGGATAGTTAAAAGTAAGAAAAGGTTAACTGAAAGCTAAAAGTAGCAGAAAGGTACCTCAGTGCTAAATAACAAAAGGCTAGCTAAAAGTCAAAAGTTGCTAAAGCAAGCAAAAAGTACCAGAACAATAGCTCAAGGTAAAAGTAGCAAAATGCTAGTTGAAAACTAGAGTAGCACACCAGTGGCTTAATACTAAAAGCAGCAAAAGGCTAGCTAAAAGTAACAGAACCTAGGCTAAAATCTGTCAGGAAGGCAGGAAAGCCTTTATGATTGAATTTCTGCACACATCAGGAGACAGAAGACTTCTTGCAGGAGTGTTTCAGCCAGGTGCAATGTAAAATCTCCAGAGTATTGCTGCTTCGGCTAATGTGTGTGTGTAGCAGCTCCATTACATTTGCTGTGAGAAAGTGGGTTTGTTGCAGAGTCCCTGATTTAGGACCAATCTTTGGATTTCTTTCCACACACACTTGGAAGGAAGTTGAAAATATATAGTGATATGTGTGGCACTACAAAAGCACATATGAAGGAGCAGTAGTGGCCACAACAAAGCAGCTGAGACTTTTTGTCCTGTTTTATCAATGTCATTCTATGAACAAGAACCTAACATATTCTAATCTGAAAACTGAATTTTGCTTCTCCTCATTGTCCACCCTACACCTTCATCTGTCTTTTAGACTACTGCTCATTTTTGAATGGATGGTATGATCCATGGTCAATTCAACCATGCAGAAAGTTGGCTTGGAACTGTCTCAGATTAGATTAATCACATTGTTATCAATAACTGAACAGTTATGATTGTGCAAGTGTCACTTGTGCTTTAGCTATGTCTAACATATGGATTCTGCATTTGCTTGAAAGCATTACATGGAGCAGTTGTGCGATCTGCGATGTACTGTATGCCCAGTATGCTAAAAGTTAGTCTGTGGTATTTTTTTTTTTTTAAGTAATAAAGTCAAGAAAATATAAATGAAAGAATTCAGGTCACTGAATATTTGTGTCAAAAATGATGTTAGTGTTTTTGAATTTTAAAAAGTGGATTTACAGTATGAGAAAACTATTTTTGTTTGCTGCAGAGACAAACAGCCATCTTTTCTGATTTGAAAGCTTAGGTTGTTTTTGTCTGAACAAACACTGTCCTCTTGTGGTCATTGTTTTAAGAAATGTGAAGCGATTAACTTAAATGGTACTTTTCCCTTAGCATTGTCTGATATGATTTCTGAATTTTTATTAAAAACTATAAACAAAAACAACAAAAACATGGGGAAAAAAACATTCAATATGCATTACTACTGTTATGTGAAAAGTAAATGAGAAGAGAAAAATCAACATAAAAGCGGATTTTATATGCTTTTTACGCAATGCTGCATGATTGAACTTGTCTGTATCCAAAATACTGACCTTAACTCCTGAGCTGTCTGATTTCAAATTAAAAACCTTTTAAAATTGTAATTATTCCTGCATTTTGTGCAAACATGCTTTTAAAATTCTTTTTTTTTTTAATCGATGTAAATAAAAGATTATTTTTATTTATTTTTAATTATTATACGTCAAGATGTTTGAAGCAAAATTATAAGTTTCACTGAGTGGGAAGAACAAAAAAAAATTACAATGAACTTTGCACGGTTTGTGGTTACTATGGTTACCAGGTTTGCACCGGAAGAGATTATCTGCTTCCGGTTACTTTCCTACTGTAGCGCGAAAATACCGCCGTGCGAAAACTGTAGTTTCACGTTTGAGCAGAAGTGTAGCTACTTGGCTTGGTAAGTTGGGTGAAAAGTTTCCATATGTGGCTGTAGACCGCTACATTTAGTGAAATAAGTTATGTAATAACCTACAGTGACTTATTTAACCGTGTGTTCGTGACTGTTTAACCCGCGACGTCGCGTTAGCTTATTTCGTAGTTAGCTAACCAGTTTCTAGCCCATGATTTAGAGTATTATTTATGATATTTAGATTGTAGTTCTTATAGGAGTGTTGAATAGAACTTAAATTTCACTCGTGCATGCTGCAAAAGAACTACCAACTGTCTTAAAATAACTTTTTAGCCAACATTTAAAAAAAAGTTATGCATGTGATTGTTTGGGACAGATGGAGGATGGTCCCTTTTTGCATGTAAGCCATTTTCTTGGAATTCAACAGGAGGCTGCCTTGAAACACATCAATGAGGGCTACTTATAAGAGACAGCACAACGTTTCAGTACACACAAAAAAAGAAACTGTCCAGATGACCTACCTGAAAATTGTTGGATTGTATACCTGGATTATTGAGCATGGACTTTGTTGGTTTTGAACCAGTTTGACATGACTGTCAACGAGGAAGAGGGCAGGTAGTGTGTTTCCTTGACAGATGAAGCTTTCCAGACTGAAGGTGAAACGTTTCAGCACAAAAAAAAGAAACTGTCCAGATGACCTGACTGAAAAATGTTGGATTGTATACCTGGATTATTGAGCATGAACTTTGCAGGTATAAGAGACCAATGTGGGTTGGCAAGCCTCAGACTGATGAAGTCTTTCGGATGAAAGACAAAACGTTTCTCGCTTAAAAAAAACTGGTTCAGATGACATGATTTAACCTTTTTTGTTGTACCTGATGATTGAGCTTACAAACCTTTTTTTCTGAATCATTTTGGCTAGGTGTCTTCAGCTGTTTCTGTGAGTAGCAAGTTGGTCATCTGGCCTAAAACATTTAATTGTTATGCATGATGCTTGATTGTTTGGGACGGATGGTCCATTTTTGCATGCGTTAAGCCAGTTTCTTGGAATTCAACAGGAGGCTGGTTTACACATCAATGAGGGCTACCAGTACTTATAAGAGACGGATCTGGGTTGGCAGGCCTCAGACAGATGAAGTCTTTTGATTGAAAGACAAAAATTTTCTCCCTTAAAGAAACTGGTCCAGATAACATGATTTTAACTTTTGTGTTTTTAGCCATCATAGTGTTGTGTTGGAGGAGCAGGCAACAACAAATGCCCCCTCATCCAAGCACCTATCAGGAAATACCTTTTAAAAACTCATAGATCAGGGGTGTCAAACTCACTTACAAAAGGGGGCCAAAATTAAAACATTTTTCAAACTTAAGGGCCAATTTCAGAAACATCAACTCAAAGCAGATACCCAACATCTTTTCATAGTCACAGGTTCCTCAACAAGAGTTTGATTGGTCTCATTTGATGTTCTCGCTTGTGCTTTTGACATACTAATCAAAGATTACTGAAAAAAAATTCAAGTGATAGAAGTAATTTATGTTTAACATATCATCTTGCGGACCAAATAAGATGCCAACGAGGGCCACATTTGGCCCCCAGGCCTTGAGTTTGACACATATGCCATAGATTAAGACTTCATTGGTGATGTGAAATTGCCATCCAAACAATAATACATTTACAACAAGGTAATAATGTTTGACATGTTGCTAAACTTTCTGAAGTATTTTGTCAGTAATTTTTTTTGCTGCACAGTGTAAACTAACAACAAACTGAAACGATGCATACAGCAGATTATCTGATGCTATCTGATCTTATGATAAACTCCCTTTGATTCTGTACCTACCGTATATGTGTTTATATGGCTTTTGTTATCGGATTCATGGACATTCAAATGTTTTGATACGCTGTTCGACCTCATAGTGAAGTTACATTTGTTTAATAAAATGTAGACTTAAATTATGAATCCCCTTAAATCTCTTCCAGAAAGCAAAAATGTCAAAGATAGATAAAATGAGCATTCTGGGGGTGAGGAGCTTTGGAATTGAGGACAAAGACAAACAAATCATCGCTTTCCATCCTCCTTTAACTGTTCTGGTTGGACCGAACGGAGCAGGAAAAACGGTGAGAACATTAACATGAGCTTAACAGAAACATGACCATGACGAACGTTGGCAGCGTGTCTTAGGGTGACTTGGCATTTTCATATTTTTTCTAAATGAGAGTTATTTAAAATAGTATAAAAACAATGAAAACATTTTATTAAAAAATAGGTTTTAGTCTGGGTTTATATATAGGACATGTAACAGTGATCTATGTATTTATATTTTCAGACTATTATTGAGTGCCTTAAGTATGCCACAACAGGAGAACTTCCCCCTGGTTCTAAAGGAGGTGCTTTTGTTCATGATCCAAAGGTTAGTTGTATAAATACTTTCTAAAAGCACGGAAACTTTTTTATTTGCACTACACTCTGTAATTTCATAATTTCCATAAAAGTCATAACAGCTGCAAAGACTGAAAATAGCTACTGAATATAACATAATCACAATAAGATTTAATGACTGAATTGTTTTTATTCAAAAAAATTAATGTATACGTTTTATAAAATATTATCAATCTGTCAATCACAGCTAATTTTTTATCTTCCTGTATAATTTCCCAAAGCGGCATAAAAGTAAACTGAACTCCCAATCTAGTCAGATGATACTGTTGTTGATGAAGTTGCTTATGCACTTTCATATTCATAAAAGTGATCTTATATTATTGCAGGACGCTCACGAGACAGATGTGCGAGCTCAGATTAAACTCTTATTCACAGATGTCAATGGAGAAAAAGTCACTGTTCAACGCTCCATGTCCTGCACGCAGAAGGCAAAAAACTACACTTTCAAAAGCTTAGACCAGGTCATAACCAGAACAAAGTAAGCCACCCAAGTGTTTTACCAAATTTTGTTCAGTGGTAGAAAAATATTTGGTTCTGTATTACGTGACATCTGTTTTTGCACGTGACTTGTATTGTAATCTATTCAGAAATGGTGAGAGAGTGAGCTTGCCAGCAAAGTGTGCCGAGGTGGACATGGAGATGATTTCTGCATTAGGAGTATCCAAGCCTGTGCTGAATCATGTTATTTTCTGCCACCAAGAAGACTCTAACTGGCCACTCAGTGAAGGCAAAGCCCTCAAAGAAAAGTTTGACTCCATCTTTGCTGCAACCAAGTAAGTCTGACTAGGGCTGGTTACCTTTCTAAAAAAATCAGTACCGGTGTCGGTACCTTCACTTCGGTGTCGGTTCCTGGGCGGTTCTTTTTTTGGTACCAATTTTGTAATTGATATTAATTCTAACAAGAGTAAAATTACGTTACACATTACAGTACATATTGTGAATTTTATTTTTTAACTGGTATTTCTATTCCAAGCAGTTTTCTTACATAAAAATAAACAAATAATTTCCAGTTCAAAAGAACAGTTGCAAACCAGTGACACGTCAGTGTCTAATGCTCACTGCTACACACTGAGGACCTTTTCTCTTAACAGTGTTTCTTCAGAAAAATCAACATGTCTGCTTTCTCTGGACACTAACAAGCCCGCTCCTGGCTGATGGTGTCTCCAGCAGTAGAAAATGTTCACTCTGAGGCTGTAGATGATGATTGTATCACACACAGATACCTGGTTGTCAGTTTGATAGCACTGACATATTGTCCCTCGCATTCCACCAGCAGGTCACTGGATTCACTGAGGTTAGGGTTGATGGCAGACATCTGCACCTCTGTGTCTCTGCCTGAATCTTCTCTGTGGTTCTCCGGGGTTTAGGGCTCTTATCATCTCCCTAATTGACATTAGAATACAAACATCAACAATAACATGGTTGTGTTATTATTGCTCAAAAACATTATCTAGGCTGAGAGATAAAAGTTTAACTGGTCAACAAAATCCTTTACAGCTTAACTTAACCTCCACCATGGAGCCCCCACTGTAGAAAAAGGCAGCAAATTTTTAACAACAAAGTTTGTGACTGTTCTTTGGCCCCCACCTCGCTTTTCTTTTGTTTGTTTCTGTCCTCATATCTGGGTCAGAGGCTCCTGTGAGGAGAACATAAACAATCAGTGAACATTAGGTGAACTGTTTAAGCAGCTGATTGGATGGATGAGCAGTTTCACAAGCCAAGCTTCATCTGTTACTGTCAATCTTTAGTTAGCTTCTGAGTTTAGCTAGCTACATAGATAAAATAAATGTACACACTAATATCTTAAAGTTAGCGTTACATGGATTCTAGTTTAATTCACCACAATGTACGTGTTAAGCTGCAGTAACGTTAACAAACGTAAACTTACCAGCTGAAACACAGACACAGAGCCGTCCACGGGAGTTCTTTGATGAAGACGAATCTGGCCATGGAGATGTTGATTGAGTCCGTTTAACACACACAGACTGACCAACGCTGAGAGGAAGAGGGGGGAGGCTGCTGTCCGTCTGTCTTCCTGCAGAAAAACACGGACTTACCAGCACCATAGACATACATTATACATAGATTAGGTACGGCAGCTATATACAGCTCTGGGTGTAAACACGTAGTCTGTTTGTCATACGTCTGGTGTTTTACCTGCCTGCGTGCTGAAACCACGTGACACGTTACAGCCAATACAAACCTTGACACTGAAAAAAGAGTGACGTTTCAATCCAAACACTGACCGGTGCAGTTCGGTGGGTGCCATTTAAGAACCTCGGTTCGGTACTCAGCCCTAAGTATGACATATTTGTCAGTTTTATTGCAATGTTTAGGTAATCATTCCAAACCATCAAATAGCCTAAAATGAATTTAAATAAAAAGAAAAAAGCAGCATACTATACAGATTTTACCAAAATATACAGTCTTTGTTATTTTGTGTGTTTTTCTGTTAGATATATCAAAGCGCTGGAGACGATGCGTCAGCTGCGCCTCAAAAAAAGTCAGACGGTTAAAGAATGTCAGGTGGAGCTGCGCTATCTGAAGCAGAACAAAGAGAAGGCTCAGCAGATTAGAGATATTGTGGCCACTAAGGAGGCTCAACTGATGTCCTCAAAAGACAGCATCCAGCAGATCGAGAGCCAGATTGATCCACTTGAGGTGGGTTGATGGAGTTGATTTTGAGATTGTAGTAGATTGTATCTAAACATTTATGCTAGGCCTGTCACAATAAACAATAAATCAGTTAATCGCATGAATGAAAATTATCAACCTCATTTTCATTTACCAGCTTTACTGTTTCTTCGTGTCTCTCTCTTTCTACTGAAGACACGGCTCAACTCCGGTGCTCTTCACTGACCCCTCCCTTTCTCTTTTCTCTTCAAAATCCATTTTAATCATCCAAAATCGTGTTTTTGGATCTTAAAAGCAGCTAAGCTGAGAAGCTAAGCTACGAGCTAAGCTAACAGTCCGACCTCGTGATTAAACCTCCGTCTTGCCCAAAATCTAAGTCTCCAAAATTTACTGTTGAAACCCGTGCCTTCTTGTAAAAAGTTGTTTTTCTCTGCAAAAAGAAGCTGAGAACTTTACTGATTTTTATTTATTTTTTAATTTTTTTATTGAAAGCTTTGTATGAAAAATGCTATGCTAAAGAGCTCAAACCACACCGAGCATATGCCATGTCAGCCCATGTCATGTCAAGGGCCCTCGCTGCTTTAATATCCATCCTTTGGTTCAAACAGTCTTATACTGCCATCAGGTGGTCAAAAAAGGTACTACACACTAAACAAATCAACGTTTCTTCTAAAATTAGACAATTAATTATTGTCAAATTTCAAACAATATTATCATTTATCGCAATAACTTATGAGACTATTAATCGCCCAGCAAAATTTAATATTGTGACAGGCCTAATTTATGCAGAAGATAAATCAATAACCCCTTCTTTCAATTGCTCATTCTTTTTATTTTTTATTTATTTTATTTTTATGTTTTTTTAAGAATCAACTTACAGATTTTGACTTGAAACTTGGAAAAGTGATGAAGCTGGATAATGATATAAAGGCTTTAGACAGCAGAAAGAAACAAATGGAGGAGGACAATAAGGAGCTGGAGGAAACAATGGAAAAGGTAATGCAGTAGTGTGTAATCTTGAAATAAGTGATGCGATTTGATTTATTTGTGCGTACATAGTTTGATCCTGACATGTTGTCAAACTGTATTTAGTGGGTCTGAGAACCTTTCTTAAGATATTGAACATGTGTGGAGCAGGTGTTCCAGGGATCAGATGAGGAACTGCAAGACGTTTACCAGAACCACCAAAGGACTGTGAAGGAGAAGGAGCGGAGGCTGATAGACTGTCAGAGAGAGCTAGAAAGAGCTGGCCGAGAGTGTCAGAGACTCAACAGAGTCAAGGCTGAGCTCTTGGTAGAGCAAGGTACTAGTTCTGTCAATTACAAAATGTTAATTGATTTCTTTAAATGATTTAGTAGATACACTGTACATTGACTGACAAGCAGTAAAATGTTTAACAAGTGGATCATTTTGTTAAGTTCTTTGTAAATAATGTAAATTAATTTATTGTTATTGTGTTAGTAATTGGGTAATTTGAATTATTTACTGTTATAAAAGGCAGCTTGCTTGTTGTGTTTCATACTCTTTGGATTTGACTGGGCTAATGACTAAATTGCAATTAAATGTTTTTATTAGGCAGCGTATTATTTAAACATATTGATGACCAGCGGTTCACATAGTTTTTTCATCACACTTCCAACATTTAACCATTTTAGTCAATGTTAAGTAATTGTTTTACTTTTTAACTGCACAATAGCCAACATTGTTGACAGCTATTTCTTAAAGTCAACTGAATGTAAATAGCATTGTGCTTGCATAGTAATTTAACCTTGTCAATATGGACATCTTATGGTTAAATAAATTATATTTTGCAGTTTAAGTTTTCAGTTTCATAAAAAAAGGAATTTTAACAATTGTTTTTCTATATATTTCTTAATTAAATGTTAGTCATTGTTGCACTAATTTAGTTTAGGTTATGCGTTTAATTGGGTGGTTGTCAACAAAACATTGTCTTTTTTTCTTTTTTTTTTACAATGTTATTGCAGTTGTAAATTATAACATTAAGCTGAGTTGGAAAAGCAGGCATGGATTTTGTTTTTTGCATTTAATAGAAGAAACACCCCCATTTTTCTCTTCAGGTCGTTTACAGCTGGAAGCTGATCACCACATTCAAAGCATCAAAAATCGTGATGCTCAGGTCAGAGGAAGCACAATGCACTCATGCACTGCCTTCATTTTTTTTATATTTAGTCCGTGGTAATATGTAGCTGATGTTCCCACTGAGAACCAAAAGTAAATATGGTCTCTAAACTAGCTAGTTTTCAGGTATAATAGGTAAACAAAAAATGTTATTCATAGAATATACAAAAACCTTTCTGTTTCTCACATCCCTTCTGTCTCACAGGTTCGTGCGCTCTCATCCTACCTGGAAATGGAAGGTTATGACCGACCGCCCTTCACCTCTTTGCAGCTTGAGAGCTTTCATCAACACGTCACTCAAAGACTGGAGCAGGAAAAAGAGACGCTCAATCAGATTATGGTAAGAAATTTTCTGTGAAACAGTACTTCTCAAATAATTGTTACATGTAAGAAGACAAGCAGTCCAGTACATAATTTCATTTATTATTTATGTATGTGTGCATGCAAACCAATTTTTCCTATATTAAGTTTCCCATGCAAACAACTCGGAGCTTTTCAGATATTGCATTAGGACTGAAATTCTTATTTTATTTTATTATGAATGGACACCAAATATATGCATTGCATAATACATTTTAGGACCTATTTCCTCCTTTTAAAACAAACCAGCATATGTCCCTATATACTTCCTTATTTGACAAACATTTATCAGCACTGCAGTCAATATATAAGAGATGGAAATGTGCTGCCTTTCATGGCAGCTAAGGGGAAGGTGGTTAACACATAATTTGCAGAAACTTAATCCTGTATTTTATCACTGGGTTTCTTTTTCAAGTAATTTACCAGAACAGGACTAAACTCACATCATATTATCGACTCATCTTTGGCAGTGCAATAAGATGTATTGATTATTGGTGTCTAAGTCTCATCCACAGAGCAGTTATCTGATTTCTGAATTTAAAATGCTCATTCTTTTAGTGTACATTGTGTTTATACTTTTGGGTCAAGTCAAAATACTAGATTCTTTTCCCCCATAAATGTTGAGCATGCAGTATTTGCTGTAAAAAAAAATTGTAATGTCTTAATGTAAAACATTTTGCTTTGTGCAAAATTGGTTTAGTGTTAACTGATCATAGCAAACAATGACTAAACCTATGCAACCAGAAGTTGCAACACATATCTATGTACATACAAAACAGCACAACTAGCTTTAAGCATTAACCTTTATTTTAACCATTAAGCGTACAATGTAATTATGACATAAAATGGAAAATTTACTTGAAGTTACCTTCGTACAGGCGAACAAGTGTTACTTCCTGTTTATCACTGTTGTATTCAGCTGATCATGAGGTCGGCCGCAAGCCTTTATCCATCTTATACATTTTTTCAGGCTCCGTTTAGGTTTTGGTAATAAAATATCTAAACTGTATTCCACCCTCTAAATGCTCAGAGTAACTCGTTTCTGAATTGTATGTTCCCCTCTGACAAAGTTTAACCATTTTTTCATATGATTTTTCACAAAATCCCTATGACTGCAAAGTGTCTGTAATGTAAAATTCCGCCGATGTCAGAGAAAAAGGGGGTGCAGCTCCTGCTGGTAAGGGGTATTCCACTTTGGGTCACATTGTGATCACTGATTGGTCAGTTGCTGACAAGTTGACTACTACTGGATTGATTGACATTTGGCATCATGTCAGTTGGTTTTATCTTCAACTTCTTCTGTTGACATTTCTTGCACTTTTCAAGGCTCACAATTTGTTCTTACATCGTAGATTGCTTCAAATAACCCTAAGCCAAGTTCTGGTGTTGCTCTCAGATTTAAAGTTAAGTTGCATTGACTCCAAAATACTGTAAATGCAAAAAGCCACTAAATGGTCACCGGCTGGAGGTCTAATGGGTAAAAACGTGAATTAAAACACATATCCTGTCAACTCTTTGCATGTTTTTATTTCAAAAACATTTTTAAGAAATATCGTTTCTTCCTAAATATAACTCTCACTGTGTTTGTATAAGTGTATATTTGACTATGACCTTTAATAACAGAGGTAAGTGTTAAATCAGAGTAATAGCATCAAACACGTGACTGAAATGCACAGGAAGCAGAAGCAGAGCCACATTAATCTGATAAACACTAGGACTAAGCCCCTCCATTTGCAACTGTGTCCTAGACTTCTTAACAAACAGATCTTAATCTGTGAGGATCCACAACTTCTCCTCCTCCACCATAACCCTCAGCACTGGCTCTCCTCAGGGATGTGTGCTGATCCCTCTTCTGTTCACTCTGCTCACGTATGACTGTGCAGCTACCCGTCCAGGCTGTCACATTGTAAAGTTTGCAGATGATACAGCGGTGGTGGGATGCATCACAAACAATGATGAGTCCAGCTTCAGGCCGGAGGTGGAACACCTGGAGAGCTGGTGCAGGAAGAACAACCTTCACATCAATGTGAAGAAGACGAAGGAGATGGTTGTGGACTTCAGAAGGAACAAACACATCTACCCCCCACCCCGAACATAGGAGGATCTGCGATGGAAGAACAGAAGTCTCAACAGAAGTCTGTTGGAGTCAGCCTCCCCACCATCACAGACATTTACACCTAGATGCAGGAAGAGGGCCACCTGCATCATGAAGGACCCACTCACCCAGCACACACACTTTTTGTCCCACTCCCCTCAGTCAGGAGATTACAGAGCATTAAGTTTAGAACCACTAGACTGAGGAACAGCTTCTACCCTGAAACTGTTAGACTCATGAATCTCTAATCAGGAAAATCACTGTGAAAAATCACATCATGTTGCTGCTGATCTGTTTCATGTTGCTGCTGATCTGTTTCATGTTGCTGTGTTCATTTAATTCCAAGATGGCGCCGGTGTGTAGGGCTGCCCATCTCTCGCTCTCTGCTTGTATTGTATTTTTGTTATTTTTACAATGGTTTTGTTTTCTTTTGTACAGCACTTTGGTTGGCCTTGTTGCTGTTTTAAGTGCTCTATAAATAAATTGGTATGGTATGGTATGGTATGCGTGCTCATCTGCACACACAGACTCATGTGTGTGCTGCTGTTCGGTGTATTGTTTTTATGCTAATAGTGCATAATGTGTATTTTTTATTAACATTTTTCTTAGTTCATATCTTAGATCTTATTACTGTTTCTTTTACATTTTAATACTTTTGTTGGATGTAACTGGGGCCCTGTGAACACAAAAAAGAACCTTGAATCCTTGAATAAAATTATTGACACATTATTAATATTCTGTATTTTGTCCATTTAGGCTGATCTACAAGAAAAGGAGCAGCAAAAGCAGCAGTCTATTGATGAAATGAGGGATAAGAAGACCGGCCTGGAAAGAACAGTAGAGCTGAAGAGAGACCTGCAGGGGAAAAAGCAGCAAGAATTGAGGAATGTCCGGGAAGATCTTCAGAGGCTCGAGGGCTCATCTAGTCGACTACAAGAGCTGGAAAATGAGTTGGCTAAAGCTGTGAGAATGTGTTACTTCTTATACCCCTGAGTGAAATGCAGTACATTCTTGAGTGATCACAAATTAACAAAACTTGGTGCTTATCTAAATTTTCAGTGTGTTTGCAACAGAATATGTTGCCAGAGTTACACAATCAGCTTATGTTGGCAACAAACAAGAAACCACTGCTTGATGTACTAATGCTGATAAATCAACAATTACTCAAGCAGTTTTATTTTTAAAATGGACTTTTATGGTGTGCCACTAACCTTGGCCACATTGTGTTTTATTTTGTGTCCTGACCACAATATTCTGGTTTGTTTTACCTCAGGAACAGGAACTGCAGCGAGCGGTTCAGAGCTCCAACGTGGAAGAGCTTAAGATTGAGATTGAACAACTCCAAAAAGAAAAGGTCGAACTTGACCGTGCCCAGAGACGGCTCGACCAAGAGATTCAGCTTCTCAACATGCACACAGCTGCGCGCACACAGATGGACATGTTGAAAAAGGATAAAGTATGAGATTTCATGTCAGAGCAGAGCCTTTTTACACTGAAACTGTCATCGGCTGCCTCTTCTTTCAGCTTGCCTTCTTGATTCTTCTAGGTGGAAAAAGATGAGCAGGTGCGTAAGATTAAGTCTCGCCATGGTGATGAACTTGTGTCCCTCTTGGGTCACTTTCCCAACAAGAGAGAGCTGGAGGATTGGATCTATTCCAAATCCAAGGAAATCAATAGCACCAGGGACCGACTTGCAAAACTCAAGTTAGTATAATGTAGTTGCATTAAAGCAAACAACAGAATTCAGAAGTTTAGAACAAAAGGTGTGTGTATGGTGTTTGTCACCGTTCTTTTGCTCTTTCCATTCATTTCAGTAAGGATTTGGCTTCAAGTGAGCAGAATAAAAATCACATTGTTGCTGAGCTGCGTAAGAAGGAGCAGCAGTTGGCGAGTGATGAAGAAAAGTTCTTCAGCGTTTGTGGTAGTCAAGATCTGGATCAGGACCTGGGCAAATTGCAGGAAGATTTGGAGAAGATATCCAAACAACGAGGTAAATGGTTAGAAGCAGAAGTTTGAAGAAGCCTTCTTAAGTTTAACACGGCTACTGATTGCAGAGTACATGTTAAAATAAGCTGTACACAATCCATTTGTACACGTGCACTTCGATGCTTACATTATCGGTAGATGTTCTGTTGAAGTCAGATTTCAGAATGTGATTATACCTGGTTAGAGTGTAATCTGCAAGTGAACATGTTTGTGTGTGCAGTCTCCTTAAAATTCTGATGTTTTAAAGTTAAGAAAAAAAATTGAGATATAGTAGTCCCTCGTTTATCACGGGGGATCCGTACCCTGAAGCCCAGTGATAAGTAAAGTAGTAAGTATCGTATTTTTCAGCCTATAAGTCACAGTTCTATGTCGTATAAGCTTCGCCCTTTAAGGCCTTCGCTTTAGTGGGTTTATCCCGTTATGCAGAGCATAAGCACTGAAAAAATTAGTCCACGCCCACCTGCTGTGTGGGCCCCACCCGGTCCGTATAAATTACGTTAAGAGCGGGAAATCGGCTCCCATTTTTTCTTCAGCGAGCTAATATAGCACTGTCAGAAGAACAAAGAAGATAAATTGTGTAAATGACCAACCTTTGCGAAAGATGCTTGGCCCGGCAGTCGACCTCCGGTCGTCCGGTGAGTTCTCCTCCCCGAGGAGAAGATGACAGCAGTCTTATTCCAAGGTAAGCGTCGTGGAACATTTCCCAGTGACAGGTCACTACACGCTGGACAACGCCATCTTGTGGTTTTCCTCATCGCCGACCCTCGGGGCGAACCGGATGGTTCCTCCGGGGCAAGGCGTGCTCAGCTGCAGCCCCGCTGCTCTTTCCCTCCTGGGGAGCGTAGTGTAGGTGGAGGGGGGCTGAGTGAATGCTCACCCCATCCCACCTCGTTTCGCATCGGCGATCACACCGCTCCCGGCCGACGGCGCCCTCAGGGGTTGCCCGGCGGAACCCAGGAGGAGGCTGACATGAAGGGACCCCCTTTTTTTCTACGTCCCTCGCCTTTTCCCGCCAGTTCGGATGATCGGCGGAAAGGTTATTTTTCACTGGGCTCCACTCTGGCTCACCGTCTTGATCCATACGGCCTCGCGTTCCAACAGGACGTTCCACGGGCGAGGCCGCAGACGGTTCTTTCCTGGTAGATTAGAGGAGTCGGTCCCCAGTCCGCTCCCATCACCAGAGTTGAGGGATTCACCGAGCGGGGCTATTCCTCGGTAACCCCCCCCCTGGAGCCAAGCCTCGCGGAAGCTTCCGGAGCGAAGCTGCCCAGGTCGGAGCAGCGTCCCGTCCCTCCGGAGGAACCAGACGGCGACCACGCTCTCCAATCGAGCCCACCGACGTGTTTTCAGGCAGCTGCAGTTAGCAACAACGTGCGCTGCTAGCATATAGCATGTCCAAGGGACTGAAGGCCGCAGACCTGCCTTGGAGACGAAGTACTCCCTCTGTAAGGCAGCTGACGCTATTCCTCGGTACCCCCCCCCCGGAGCCAAGCCTCGCGGAAGCTTCCGGAGCGAAGCTGCCCAGGTCGGAGCAGCGTCCCGTCCCTCCGGAGGAACACAGACGGCGACCACGCTCTCCAATCGAGCCCACCGACGTGTTTTTTCAGGCAGCCGCAGCTAGCAACAACGTGCGCTGCTAGCATATAGCATGTCCAAGGGATTGAAGGCCGCAGACCTGCCTTGGAGACGAAGATCTCCCTCTGTAAGCAGCTGACGCCAGCTCAACATGTGTGCCTCTCCCACGGTTTGCCTTGTCGGGGACTGCAGCGCGGAGGACGATGACCCAACGATCCACCTGGCTTCGTTACTCCCCTCGCTGCCGGAGAATCTGCACAAGACCTGATGAAGCCCATCGCGGACGCGCTGTTCAGAGCAGCTTCAAACCATGCTGGCGAAGTGAAACAGTCGGAGGAGGTGCCAGAAGCTGTTCGCCACCTCATCAAGCCGCGCGGCCCACCCCGTCCCCGCTGGAGGGACCGTCGCGAGCAAGTTTTCGACTTTTCCACGGCCGCGGCTCTCGCTGAGTTCCACCACCAGCCCCGCCCGTCAGAATCCAGCCCTCTGCACTCCGGCAGCCTGCAGCTCAGCGTTTCCCCAGAGTTCGCCTGCAAGACAGCGCTCTGGGCAAACAATCGCAGAGCTCATGAGAGAGAAAGCTCTCAAATGACGGTCTCCGGAGGGTGTGTGTAAAAGTGACACGAAAGTTGAAATAAATCATCATTAATGATCCAAGTGTCTGTTTTTTAGCCAGTCTGTAAGCCCGGATCAGCTCACAGCGGCCGCACACATAAGAGCGCACTCGTGGGATGAAACAGCCCCACACACGAGCCGGTGTCCTTAAATAAAGGTTTTTAACTCACCGTCGCTCTAAGACATGACGAGTCGATCACAGAACAGCCTCCACACATGAGCCGGTGTCCTTAATTAAAGGTTTTTAACTCACCGTCGCTCTAGACATGACTAGTCGATCAAAGGACAGCCTCCACACATGAGCCGGCGTCCTTAATTAAAGGCTTTTAAACTCACCGTCGCTCTAGACATGATGAGTCGATCACAGAACAGCCTCCACATGAGCCGGTGTCCTTAAATAAAGGTTTTTAATTTAAACTCACCGTCGCTCTAGACATGACGGGTCGATCACGGCACAACGGTAAGCGAAAATAACTCATTACCAACTAGAACTGCATGATCCTCACTCAAGCGGTGTCAACTCGCATTTGTGGGATGGAACAGCCTCCACATGAGCCGGTGTCCTTAAATAGGGTTTTTAATTCACCGCCGCTCTTGACATGACGAGTCGAACACTAAGATGACAGCCTCCATTCAACGGTGCTGCGTTGATGCTGGCGCACACAGCTGCCGGCGCTAACCAGCTCACATCGGTATAAATGTGGTCCGCAGGCTGGTCCGGGTGGGGGTCCTTCTCTCTCAGCTTTCGGCAGCTCACCGCAGCTTAAACGTGAAGCAGCCGAAGAATCCGGTAATGAGTCCCACCTCCCTCCAGCGCGCGCCCCTCCAGCGAGAGCGGCGCGCGTCCCTCCAGAGAACAACGTGTGCTCCCGCGGGGCTAAGCAGCCTTCACTCCAACAGCACGGTGTAAATGAAGTCACGCCCTCCGCCTTTCAACGTTCGCACAGCGACGTCAAACGCGCAGCTCACCGCGTCATCAGCTGTCACACGCTTCGCCTTCAGCTCAAGTCTCGCCCGGGGTCACACAGAAAACATTCCCGCGACGCATGACGGCGGTTGAGGGACGGACTGCTGACAGCCGTACAAAACATGACGCATCATTAACGCACGTTCATCCACGAACGTTACGTAGAGTGGCTAAACATGCTCGCCGTTTTTCAGATGGATGGACAGGGTTTATGCAAATGGTACAAGTTACAGTTTGCAACCCGAACCCCTCCATTCAGAGGAGTTATATAAACGGTCCCGTCATCATCATCAGACTGATTCTCTTCCCTAAATGCAGAAATCCAAGTGTTTTCTGATAAAAGTAATCTACAGAGTTCCCCAAGGGAGAGAAAACACGAGGGTGTTTACTCACGGATCGGAGGGGTGAGACCGTTCTTGGATCTGTTGTTTTAACATCCAGAGAACGCATACCGATCATCCTAAAACACAGAGACGAGAGTTTTTTGTTTTACCTGGATGATCTGCGGATCCTGTCACTTCAGACAGGAGGCGCTGATGCAGGATCAGGTGTTGACATCACACCTGTTAATCTGGGCTTCGCCATAAGTGGAAGGAAGCTCGATTTTCCCGGCCCAGACATTTGTTTTCTGGAGTGGAATTAAATTCAACCACCATGAAAACTCATTTATCACATGAGACGCCTCTAGAGGTGTTTTTGCACGTCTGCATGTGGATCCAGTAAAACAAACGACGGATGATCATTGTCTTTTCCTCTGTGGAAGCAGACCTCCGACTCTGGGGAAACACCTTGTTTTTCTATCAGAGGGAGTCCCCCTCAGCAGACCCACGTCATGGGTCAGTCTTCACGGACACGTTGCTGTCAGGCTGGGGGGGGGACATACCTATCTCAAGCAGTAGGGGCGCTGTGGCCCCACTACACATCAGCCCACATCAATGTTTTGGAGTGTCGCACAGTACTGAATGTGATTCAACACCTTGCTCCTGTGCTACAGAATCAACACGTGTTGATTCACACAGACATCATGATGACTGCTGCGTACATAACCATCAGGGTGTGCGTTCAGCCCAGATGTTACACATTGTGCGAAAGCTACTGAGTTGGGTTCATCAAAACCTGCTTTTATTAGAGCGGTTTACATATCCGGTGTTCTGATGTGACGTCCAAGGGCGGCCCACGTTACGTGGACCGGATCCTCCATCCGGATCTGATGTTTTCAGACGCAGCAGAAGTTGGCAAAGCAGCTGTGGACCTGTTTGCGATGCGAGAAGAACGCTCAATGTCAACTACGGTTTTCCCTGAGCCCGCGAGACGATCCATCGCTGGGGGGGGACGCATTTGCTCACAGTCGGTGGCCCAAAACGCTTTTTACGCGTTTCTTTCCCCCCACCTCCTCTGTTTTTTACGGTCCATGAACCGAGTTCAAGAGGAGGGATTGACAGCTCTCCTGGTGGCTCCCGGCGTGTGAACGCACTATGGTTCCCAGGCCTGCAACGTCTGTTGTTGGGTCGCCGTGGAACTGTCATGGAGGAAGGATGCTCTCCTTCAGGCAGGAGGAGCGACCAAGAGTTACCCAGAAATAGGTCAACACCGGTGTGTCTGACCGCTGAGCGGTTCCACTTAGAGGATGGGTCTCCCTCAGGAGATAGTGTGCACAATTCAAGATTCACGTGCTGCATCTACCACAGTTCTGTACACATCAAGGGGACGGCTTTTCAGCGCTGGTGCACAGAGAAGGTTTAGAGACCACTTCATGCCTTTTAGGCGGCGTGTTGTTTTTCTACAACAGCTGATGGATAGGGAGTTGGCTTTCAGTACGCTTTAACGTACGATTGCAGCCATCTCTTCCTGCCACAAAGGGTTTGGAGACAGAACAGCTTTTATCACCCGCTGATGAAGCGGTTTCTAAAAGGTGTACAGAGATGTAGGCCTGTTTTCACGCCCACTTGTTCCACAGTGGGTTTAACGCTGGTCCTGCGAGCCCTGATCAAAGCTTCAATTGAGCCTCTGGATCAGGTTTCATTTAAATTCTTGTCTCTTTTAACAGCCCTGTTGCTGGTTTTAACACCCGCTAAGAGGGTAAGTATTTATCTGCCCTCTCTGTTGCTTCGTCATGCCTTAGAAGTAGGCTGACGGGCAGCTCAGCTGATTTAAGACCAACCCAGCTTTTATGCCTAAAACATCACGAGCTCTTTTAAATCAAGAGTGATATCGTTGGAGGGGTTTTTTCCCTCCCACAGATCAGAAGGGGAAGCATCTGTTCATCTTCTCTGCCCGGTGCAGGCGTTGACGTGTTACGTAACGCGCACAGCTGCAATGCGTTCAAATTCAACAATTGTTTGTGCATTATAGAGATGCTTCTGCAGGTCGCCGTTATCCATCCAGCGCTTGTCACACTGGCTGTGTGAGGCCTTTTTTCTGAAGCCTACAGAGCATCAGATTAGGGCCTCCTGTCAACCTCTAAGCACACTCGACCAGGGGTATCGCATCTTCGATTGCTCTGCATAATGGTATGTCAATGCAGGACATTTGCACTGCGGCTGCATGGTCAACACCCTGCTCATTTATTCGCTTTTACCTACGTGATGTAACGGCTCGTTCCATGACACATTCTGTCCTTAGTGCTCTAACAGAATGAATATTATTGTTCTCATGGAACTCTGTTTAAGCTCACTTCTGTCTGCATGCATTACAGTGTGAGATGTTGTTATCAGTCACAGTTGTGTCTGTGTTTCTGGTTCTATTGTCACTAATCAGTTCATGATTATTGTTACCAATCAGTTCATTTGATTATTTATCAATTCATGGACATTAATCTGTTTATACTGTTCAGCCATGAACCAGTTGGTTCATGCCCCCCTCCCCCCCTCTTTTCAACTTCCTCTTCCCGTTGAAAGTTTTTCCGGGGTATTCATGCTTGTCAGAACGCATAGTTACACAACATGCGTCTGTGCATGGCACATAATTACGCGATGCGTAGTTTATGCACACGGGGAGCTGGGTGACAAGACGTTTTTTGGGCAAGCTTCCGCTTCTTACTGTGTTCGAATGGACCCAGTGAGGCGAGGACCACATCGGCTTCGCCCTTTACCCACTAAAGCGAAGGCCTTAAAGGGCGAAGCTTATACGACATAGAACGTTGGTTACGTACTGTAACCCCAGATTCTATGAGTATAAGCGTAGCCCTTTAAGCGTCGGGCCTCACTGGCTCCTAAATGGCTGAAGAAAAAGCTATTTTGGGAGCCGATTTCCCGCTCTTAACGTAATTTATACGGACCGGGTGGGGCCCACACAGCAGGTGGGCGTGGACTAATTTTTTCAGTGCTTATGCTCTGCATAACGGGATAAACCCACTAAAGCGAAGGCCTTAAAGGGCTACGCTTATACTCATAGAATCTGGGGTTACAGTACGTAACCAACGTTTTTTGCATAATTTACATGCCCTGCTACTTATACGCCGAAGACGTATTTATGGATTTTTTTTCCCCATATTTATAAAAAAAATTTGGCTGAGATATGACCGTTTTCATTCATTCTGACTTTGAAAATATTGAACACTACCATTTTTAGCCGCTAGATGGCAGTTGAGTAGTATGGCATGCAGTTGTATCATATAATAGGTAAAAATGGCTATTAATAACGCAATCGGCTTGCCAAAGCCTTCCACCGTCATCTGCCTGGAGCAACCGTCAAATCGGCTTCATTTCGCTGCGTCGCCTCGGCGAAATTCAGCTGATTTGACCATTGAAGTTCATTCATTAAGTAAAAGTTCAACTGAAACACACTTTTGCTATAAAGTCGAGTAAACAAATAATTGTTTTTAGGTGGTATTCTTGTTAAATTTCGAAGAAATGGACAGCGAGTCGTCCCTCTGTATGTTCATGTTTCCACGTATTGGCTTTTGAAAATGCAGCTGATTTGACCGTCAAAGTGCATTTATTAAGGAAAAGTTAAACTCAGACACACCTTTGCTATAATTTTGAGCAAACAAATAATTGTTTTTAAGTGTTTATCTTGTTAAATTCTTGTTAAAGTCCTCCCGTGCACACTCCCACGGCTGCCATTTGGCACCCAATAGATTTTGGGCACAACACCGGCCCACATTTCCGGGTGGTCAGCGGTGACGCGTAATAGATGTAGGGATGCACCGATCCACTTTTTTCACTTCCGATATCGATATCGGCTGTTTGGTTTCGGCCGATACCGATCCGATATTGATCTGGCTGATTAAGTTGGTAGTGTTTTAGCTGAAAGTTTTAGTGCCACCCCTTGGAACCGTCACTGCGCACATATTGCACGTAGCTATCGAATGTGTTGCCTGAGGTAGTGTGAAATAGTTCCAAATGGCTTATCCTTTCACTCGCTCCATTTTGAAAACAATGTGTGCGGTGAGTTCGCTAGCACGTGATGTCACTCAGAGCACAAAGCATAGAATTAGAGTGAATAGATCTGCCCAATCATGGATCGGTCACATTGTCACCGATACCCGATCCAGAAGTTTTTTTCCGATATCGGGACAGATACCGACATTGGTATCGGATTGGTGCATCTCTAAATGGATGTGACATACACAGCGAAGTGACGCATTTATGGATTTTTCCACTTTATTAGACATATTTGGACTGATGTGACTTATAGGGTGGTGCGACATTTACGGCAGAAAATATGGCAGTTGTTTATTTTAATATTTATATACAGGGGCTGGCCATAAAACTAGAACATCATGAAAAAGTTTATTTCAGTAATTCCATTCAAAAAGTGAAACTTGTATATTATTGGGACCCGAGAGTCCCAGGTTCGATCCCCAGTCACTGCACATCACGTGGCGTCTCTGGGCAGCACGTCTAATCCCCAAAATGTCCCCCGGGCGCTTTCAATAGCTGCCCACTGCACCACCTGGTGGTGGATGGGTTAAATGCAGAGACTAATTTCGCCATTGTATGGAAACATACAGCGCTGACATTGTGATGACATTATTATTATTATTATATTCATTCATTGCACACAGACTGATATATTTCAAATGTTTATGTCTTTTAATGTTGATGATTATAACTGACAACTAATGAAAACCCCAAATTCAGTATCTCAGAAAATTAGAATATTAATTAAAACCAATAAAAATAAAAGGAGTTTTAGAAGTGTTGGCCAGCACCTGTATATATTAAGGTGTTGTAAACCCTTCCCACACTCTTGCAGTTTTCTAAAACAGCGTTTCTAAACTCTAAACACAAAAAGAGCACAGAACGTCATGATCAGCTCTGTGCCTCCGCTGCTCTTTGCCACCTGCAAGCGCTCTCGGCCACGCCCACTTCTCCACTCTGCACCGAGATCAGCTGATCAGCTGCAGAAGGAAGCTTATCCTGCAGTGTGGGTTACACAGAGGTGCAGCAGGTGCTAAATAATTTATTTTAAATAAAAATCCTATGTCGATCGTGCGGTTCATCCATCAATCAGCTAATTGTGTGTCATGTCCAATCTTAGTTTGAAAAACCGCAATAAACGAACCGCGAAGTAGCGAGGGACTACCGTACAGCAAAGTTGTGTCATACATATTATCTCGAGTTTTAAAGTAAAGAGAACTGGTTTCTTCAGTTTTGTTTGTCCCGTTTGTCCTGATACAGCCATGTTGGCAGGAGCCACAGCAGTTTACAGCCAGTTCATCAGCCAGCTGACAGAGGAGAGGGAACCCTGCTGCCCTGTGTGCCAGCGAACCTTTCCCTCTGAGTCGGATCTGCAGGAAGTTATTAGTGACATGCAGTCAAAGCTACGCTTGGTGCCCGACAAACTGAAGAACACTGAACACGACCTGAAGAAAAAGGAGAAGAGGAGAGATGAGATGATATCTCTCAAACCTGTGAGGTAAGGTGTTCCTAGTGTCTTCTGTTGGAGCAATAGTCAAAGTTTGATAGTGGGGCAGAAAAATTTTTTTGCAATTTCTATAAGTTTAAAATCCACTGATGTCTGATTGGATACATTTTTCTCATTGCTTCATGATCATTGGTTTTCAAATATTTTATATTAAATAACATATTGGTGCTCAGAAGAATCTCACTAATGCTACAGAAAGTAAAGACGGTTGGTTTCAGTTGATGTAAAGTTGAGAAATAAACTAGATGCAGTAAAGTGTCATTTTTTACTTGATGAACAAACATTTAAGTTGTTTGATACAAATGCTCAATGAAAGAAGATTTTCACATTGTATATAAAACATCTGCCACTTCTGTTTCTGGTTTTTAGACAGACTGATGTGGCTTAACAGCTGTAAAAAATAAAGCATCTTTTCAGAGTTACAGGACATTTCCTCTATTTAGCAACGTTTATGAAATCAGTTCCAGCAGGTGGAGCTAAACTCCTATATGTTCAAGAACTCAAAACTGCTCATTAAACGAACAGAACCTTAAAACTATACATATTCATATTTTGCTGTTGAAAAAATAAGCAATAAAAACATGTATTCTGGGTATAATAAGCAGCTTAATATGATTTTACTTATAAGAGCTAAACTTGGTTAGCTCTTCCACTTTGTTTCAGTTTTCACCCTCTTTTCGTTTGGTTTGGTTTCATTAATTTATTTAATTTAGCTTTTATCAATTTTTTTTCAACCATTACAATCACAAGGAAAGTAAAAGTTAAAATGTCCCATGTTAAAATATGTATACCAGTAAATATAAACTAAAAAGTAAAATTATTTTTTAAAGACTTCATATTTACCTTATATACATAGTTGTATTTATCACCTTTAGCAAAAAGTACATCTTCATTTGCTGCATGACTAGTCAACAAATTTCTTATTCGTTACTAATTTGCTTTACGCTCTTATACTTTTTTTTATCTTTCACTCTTCTAAATTGTAAGTCTGCAGCAGTTTGAGGTAACCTTCGTCAGCAACATCCACGGTCTGTCAAAGAAGAATAGTTGAGGGATTCAAAGTTTTTGCATCTACATCTTTAGAGTTAATCGTTGTACACTCATTTATTTGTACCTTTTTATTTCTTCTAGACAGTCCATTGTGCAGTTTCAGGAAAAGGAGCTGCCTGAGCTGAGAAACCGTCTCCAGGCTGTTAACAGAGAGATTGAGAGGCTCAAATCGGTTGTGGAAGAACAAGAGACTCTGCTCAAGACTTTGATGTCTGAAGAGGAAACGGCCAAGGCCTGTCTGCAGGACATCTCTCTTATGGACAGATACCTGGTAACACCCTTCTATTGGCATCTTCTCACAAACTAACCTGTGTCCTTGTCACTATTTCCAACAGAAATTATTATTATTATCCGTCACTGATCAACCCTAACCCTCTGACATTTTGCTTGTTGTGTACTAAAAACCATTTCTAAGAAATCTAATTACACAAGGCATGCGTCTCTCATTTCTTATTCTTACATCTGGACTTTAGTGGGTTCTGAAAAGTGTGTTCAAACGAAAAAAAGGGGTTGTAAGCTCAATCATCCAGGTAGATAACAATTTAAAAAAAAGGTTAAATCGTGTCACCTGGACCAGTTTCTTCAAGTGAGAAACATTTTGTCCCCCATCCAGAGGACTTCCTCAGTCTATGGCCTGCCAGCCAGATTTGTCCCATACATATGCTGTGTTTCAAGCCAGCCTCATAAACAGCCTGAGACTGAGGAAGTCCTCTGGATGGGGGACGAAACGTTTCTCACTTACTGAAACAAGTCCAGATGACACAGTTTAACCTTTTTGGTTGTGTTCAAACAGTTTTGACTGGATTAAGCTGACTAAAACCACACTAATTTTACCAGTCTGGTTCCTAACTTAAATTTCAGCCCTGACAGAAGTGATTTTCTCCTCTGACCTAATAAAATTACACAAGTATAATACCAAATTTAAAAAATTTTATACGCTGCTAATAGAAAAACCTAAACAAAACTTGTACTAAATTAGGCTGAACTGCTGTCAGTTTGCTAATGCTATCAATATTAATAATATTACTTGCCTAACCTGTCAGTGGTCATTATCTTATGGCTGATGGGTGTATCTTTTCCATCTCTGTGTATTTCTCTTTTAATATTTTAAGCGTTGATTAATTTTGAAAGTCCCAAGTTTTTAAACTCCTCATTTCTTGATTTCAAAAGAACTGCATAAACACAAAAACTGGTTAATATTTCAACTATAAATAATGACTTGGCAATTATTGTATTTCCTTGTGTTTTGTGTGCTGGTATATTTTATTATCATTTTATTTTCAGATGGACCTAAAAGAGTTGGAAAGGAAAATCGCTCAGCATGCAGCCAAGCTCCAGGGAGTTGATTTGACCAGAAGCATTCAGCAAGTTAGTCAGGAGAAACAAGAAACTCAACACAATCTGGACACAAGTAAGAACCCATTGTTGCAGTTTCATCATATGCTTTTAAAACACAAAACTTACAAAGTCTAGTTTTTTACATTGCATCAATTTGTTTTGTACTAGCATGAATTATAGATTTTTTTTTTAGTGCTGCACTGAGCCGTCTTTGTTTGGTCTTTGTAAATTATCAAGGGGGAGCAGAAACTGAGTAGACCCTAGCCCTAAAACTGACACCATCAGGTTTAACCACTTTAATTACAAAAACAAAGAAAAATTAGAGTGAATTTTTATCATCTGTTTAGACAAAAAATGAACTTATTTCTGTTTTGTTTAGAGTCATTAGGTTAAACTCCAATATTGGTCAATCAGGTCATCTGAACAGTTTTTTTTTTTTTTTGTGGAAAGACGTTTCGCCCTCTATTCGAAGGGCTTCATCAGTCTCAGGAGTTCCAAGTAAACTGTTTTCCCCACTAAGCAGTACACTCCTTTAGTGGACCAACCAGTTTGCTGGTGATAAGATGGTTTCTGGGGTCTGTCCTCTCCCCCGTCGACTCATCCCAGCCAGGCAGCCACAGCCAAAGTGGTTCAAGACATCAAAGTTCATGCTCAATCATCCAGGTACAAAATCCAATAATGGTCAATCAGGGCATCTGGATACAGGGTGAAACATCTTTCCACAAAAAGAAACTGTCCAGATGACCTGATTGACCATTACTGGATTTTGTATCTGAATGATTGAGCATGAACTTTGATTAGGGTAAACGATTCATCCCTCAGAAGACTTACAATCTTATTTGCAGGATCTGTGATAGAATTATGCTTTTGGGCTGATTTTGTGGCAATAGAATAGATTATACTGAATCAGTTAATTTTAAATATAATGTCTTTTTTTCAGTATTTCAAACCATCAGCTTGACAGTTGATATTTGAACACTTGATTGTTTCAACAAAGTCACATTTCACAACAGGTTGTTGAATCATAGAAAACAGGCTAACGTTGAGATTATGGGCTGACTTTCCCAAAGTCCCAAACTTAACTCGGTCCAAAATTTCGACTGTAGGTAAAATCCAGCCAGTAAATCGACAAGCTCTAGTAGAGCAACTGTACATTCCCAGACTTTTGGTAGAACTTTGTTAGTAATGTTTGCCTTTTTATAGTTTTTGACTCTCTTTTTCCTTTTAGCCTCCAGCAAAATGGATCTAAAGCGTAAGCTTATCCAGGACCAGCAGGACCAGATCCAAATGCTGAAAAGTGCAGTAAATGAGACGAGGGCAGACAAGCTCCAGCTCAGCAGCAACATGCAGAAACAGCAGCAGCTGGAGGAGCAGTGTGTCGAGTTTACCGCAGAGATACAGGCTCTGACCAGGGACATGAGGGTACTTTTGCCTTTGTTTCTTTTATCATGGTCAAAAAAACTATCGATATCAATCAATACTTTGTGGTCAATCAGGAGGCAAAGGAGCAACTGTTGCCTCTGTCTGCAACTCTGGAGAAGTTGCAACAAGAGAAACAAGAGCTGGTGGAGCACAGGAGACAAAAGCATGAAGAAGGACAAGAGAAGGTGGAAACTTATTTTTTGTCATTTAACTTTTTCTGTACTAAAAACTTTTCAACTTCAACTCTTATTTTTTCCACATGTCTACACTCTGATCCCTCAAGCTTTTTGTGGTACTGTTTGAGTGCATCTTTTTTTTGTGTTCAGTTTTTTTCTTTATTAATAGGTCAATGAACTGCCTTTCTTAAACGCCCTTAAGAAAAGTAGCATGTCCAGTTTTTATTTACTCTTGTAAAATGAATGTTAAAACTCAAACAAGTGACCTTTCTTAAAAATTACTGGGGGGAAAAGCACACACAAAAACATTTCTTATTCTCCTTCTGTTTCATTATAACTAATAATTAAACGTTTGTTCACCTCATTGTAAACACTGTAATAACTCTTTTCTGACAGATCAATGCTATTAAAGAGAGAGTGAAAAACATCACAGCATTCGAACGAGAGATCACTAAATACGTAGGTGATGGAAAAAACACATATAAAGAGGTAATGTGTTCATTCCTAGCAGCCATTCTTCATCCGATTTATTATCATTTTACAGTTTTTAATCGCATTATAAACATTTTAACATAGCTAAAAATGTTTCTATATCGCTTTAAAATATTGTTACTCGGTCATTTTTCTCTTTAAAAGTAATTGAAATGATCTAATCATCAACCAACTTTGGTTTTGGCTGCAGCAAAAAGAATCTGAGCTTCAGGAAACCAACACTCAGCTCCACGAAGCTGAGAAGCAAAAGGAGAAGATCAACAAAGAGATGGGAAACATCCGTCAGGACATAGACACTCAAAAGGTAGACTGGTAGTCTGACTTACTCTTTTAATTTCTGGCTTTTAATGGGATTTTTTTTTAAGCCCACAAGGAAGAAAGATACAGAAAAGTTTATTACAGTAGTATATTAATGACTTATATTTTTGCAGCTCCCTTTAAAAGCCCATCTCTGGTCTAAAGTCGTTCATTTTAGGTTAATTGGTGAAAACAAATGATCTGCTACCAGTTTTCTTGTACATTGATTCTTTATAAAATCGCTCTGTGATGAGATGAGTGTATACCATTTTGTTCCTGAGGTTTGCAGTGATTGACTTGAGATGTAGAGGTTGCTTTTTTTTTTTTTTTTTTTTTTTTTTTGCAACAGCACAGAACAGCCTGTGAGGGCTGTGATTAAAGAACTCTTAAAATACACTGTATTTATTAGAGCCTGACCGATATTAAAATTTTGGATATCGGCGATACGGAATATTAGAAGGGGAAGGCTAACGCCGATGACCGATATAATGGCTGAAAATGAGCTTTATCCACCCCCAAGAATCTTAAGTAAACAGCGAATGGGGCGGGGTTTCTATATTTATTGCGGCTGTTCACAACCACAAAGCTAAGCAAATCCGATCCATGTTATACATAGTCCCACACTAGGTTTACAAGTGGTGCACTGGTCATCAAAACAGTCTTCCTAACGTGCGTTCACATTTTCTATTCTCTATTATTAAAGATAAAGTTATCAAATGTGTTACAAAAATATAAATTAAACAAAGAAACGCCCTTCCCTGTTCAATGTTTAAACAGTCAGTCATGTATGGTGAAGATCTAATTAGTACTGACTGCAGCAGCAATTATTATTGTTTTCAGAGAAGTAAAGATTTTAGACAAGGCATTTTATTGAGGATGACAAAGATAACGTTACTAACACTGATATATTTACCTCTACGTTAAATTATTTTTCTGGATAAAGTTTTACAAGGCAATAGCCTAGGCTAGGTTATCTAAATGTTAGCTTGCTAACTTGAGAGGCACGTAGCTAATGACAGGCAGGTCAGAGGATTGAAAGAATTTGTTGTATATATATGTACATATATGTATGTTGTATATTTGTTTAGGTTCAAGAGCGCTGGTTGCAGGACAATCTGACCCTGAGGAAACGTGTTGAGGAGCTGAAGGAGGTTATGACTAAACGACAAGCTCTTCTGAAAGAAATGGGCAACATGCAAGTCTTGAAGCTGCACCAGTAAGAACATTTAACTGTTTATCTTTAGTCTGTAAACCCAATACATGGGATGGTCATAGACGACTTTCGCTTCATACAAACCAACTGTACAAAATCACTCTCATGTGTTATTAGTAAAATAAGTTTAAATGATCAAAATAAAGGTATAAGCAACGTTTTCACAGTTTTTTTGGTTTTCTAGAGAACGTCGTGAAGCAGAACGCAAGCTAGAAGATTTGAAAAAGAACCGCAGCATTGCTCTGGGTCGTCAGAAAGGATTTGAAGAGGAGCTACTGCATCATAGGTAATATAATAATAATAATAATATATAATATAATAAGATGGTAGCACAACACAGCTAATCAATATCAGCTAAGATGTTCATTTTTTTTATCCAGCACAGTATAAAAGTACAGCTCGTGAAATTTTAAATCTGTTTTTATTCATCAGTTTGTAACGCCATGTATTTTCTGCACTTACTTTCATTCTACAATATAGGACAGTTTTATTCATTTATAGCATATTTACTGCATACTGACCAAACTAATTGTTTGTTAAGAGGAAAATTATTATTTTAACAAGAAGAACTATTGTGCAAGTGTTTAATGTTGGAGAAAAATCTTTTTTTTCTTGAAAATGAGCTTGTTCTTTTCCATTTGATCTTTTAATTTATTACAGGCAAGAGTTGCGAGAGGATCAGTACGACAAAGCTGATGAGCGCTATAAAAACAAGATGATCATAATGAGAACGACAGAGTTGGTCATTAAAGACCTGGATCTCTACTACAAAGCTCTTGATCAGTAGGTTTCATCTTAAAGTTCCTCACACTGTTGCATATTGTTTTTCATGATGACAGAAAGGTTGAGTTGTTGCTGTTTGTTTGCATCTGTATTTACTATTTGAGGTCAGTTTTATTAAATGAAGACTCCTGAAGAGTTGCAACTTTAAACTCCTGAGGTTTTTGCAAAACTTGAAAAGAAAAGAATCACCAGGTCTAAAACAAAACAACAATAAAAAAGTCTCCTAACGACATGTTGCTAAAAAAAATGAAGGGGGAAATATCCAGCAAAGACCTGACTCAAGACCCGAGCGATGCAGCGTCCTTTGGCTGAATCGTTTATTGTAGGTCAAACTTTCAGCTAATGGCTTTGTGAGAATCACCTTGGTGGCGTTATAAATCAGTTAAACCGTTATCTTTGGTATTTTCGATTGATAAAACAAACGCATTGAGAGTAGATTGTGTAGTGTAATTTTTAACCTTAGAATAAAAAAAAAATACCGTACTGTTAAAATGCGTACACATTTTAATGGTCGTCTTTCTTGTTCTACCTCAACATTAGTTCCCACAGATTTACGAATCTAAAATGTAAAGCTTGTAAGGAAATGGGTTCTTGCAGCCTCAAATAATTTCTCAGAACATTGCAGAAACTTCACTTACCCGTATCTGTGGGTTAGTTAAAGCATCATTGCCTGCAGAGTTATCAAGATGGTAAGGAGGCTCAGCAGAGCGTACATCTCATACGGCAGTTTCTGTCTGAATACACAGAAAACTCTTTCATGGTAAGATGTTCTGATTTGACGGTTTAAAAAAAAAAAAAAAAAACCTAAGCGCAACACTTCAAAAGCACCAAGCACCAGCATTATCATGTAAAGACCAAAAGGCAATAGGGTGACTAATAACTTTACATTTTGTTTAGGGACTTGCGGTTAAACACGGTGCATTTGTTTCTTTATCAGTTTTTATCATAACAAATGAAGAGTTGTCTTTCTCAGTCTTAAAGTGTTGAGTTTAGATGAACCGTTTTTACAGGTGGACTCAAGTGAGACATTCTACTTGTTTTGAGAAAAGTTTTGTGACTGAAGAAATCACTGAGCACAAATATCCTGATTCATGCTCAATAATCCAGGTAGAAAAATCTAAAAAAGTTAAATCTGGTCCTCTGGACATTCAAAAAAAACAAAACAAAGCAAAACAGCAAAGAAAGATATACTACTGTTGTCATCTCAAACCAAAACAAGACTTCTTCTTTCAGCTTTTCCATTTTCAGTGCTTGCCACAGTGAGTCATCCTCCTCCAGCTCTCTGTCCTCACTCCCAACTACCTCCACGTCCTCTCTAGAGTTGCATTCGAGCCTAAAAAATCTGACCCAACCCGTAGCCATTTTGTCCGAGCCTGACCCGACCCAATAAATTACCTACCGTAATTACAGGATTACGTAATTACAGCAAATCAGTTTGACAAGATGTTTTAAAAAACATAACGAAAGGAACATATAAGATTTCTTGTTTATTAACAAGTCACCAAATAGAAATTAACATACAAAACAAATTGCCTGAAAAAATAAACTCTAAAGATAGGCTGTTATACAGATGAAGAAAAATATTTTTAGAGCAAAATTATTTGGAAAAATATAGAGCAAGGCTGTTTTAATTGAACGCGCTGCTCGCTTCAGCTTTTGTAGCATCAGATGCTGCAACTTCCTTCACCGCAGATGACAGCAGGGTGGACCGGGATGCGCGCAGCCCATGATCAGGTGATCCATCCGGCCGGTCAGCGGATGCGCGCGGCCGATGATCCGGTTGCCCATCTGATCCGGTTGTCCATCTGAAGCTTAACGCAACTTTTTTTTTTTTTACCTCATTCCGCTGGCTGGTCAGTGGACGCGTGCAGCCGATGATCCAGTTGTTCATCTGAAGCTTAACACAACTTTTTTTTAACTCTTTCAACCGCCGGTCGGACCTGAGCGTGCACCTGACATTACACACAGCAGGTTTCACTGTGCTGGCTTTGTAGAGGGAGTTCTCCCATTGTTAGCTTTTGTTTAATACTTGCCAGCTCCATTATGTCACTTGTTGTGGGTCAATTGCAAATCCTCAGATATATGATAAGAGCAAAGGGCAGGCGGGGCCATATGTGCAATTAAAACCGCATCAAAAGCCTGACCCGGCCCGCCCATCAAGCACATAATTTTGGCTGGGGGCTCAGGCCAAAAATCGCAGCTCTAGTCCTCTCTAACTGCATCCGTATATCTCCTTTGTCTTTTTCCTGGCAACTGCATTTCTAACATCCTTCTACTAATATACTCACTATCCCTCCTCTGGACATGTCCAAACCATCTCAGTCTGGCCTCTCCAACTTTATCTCCCAGTTGTTCAACCTGTGCTGTACCTCTGATGATCTCATTCCTAATCTTATCCATCCTTGTCACTCTCAAATGAGACCCACAGCTGTCTTACCACTGTCTTGTAAACTTTTCCTTTGACCTTTGCTGACACAAATCCTGAAACTTTTCTCCATCCACTCTGTCCTGTCTGGACTCTCTTCTTCACTTCTTTACCACACTCCTCATTTTCCTGAATATTTGACCCCAAGTACCGGTATGTGAAGTCCTGCATCTTTGTGACTTCTGCTTTATGGTTTGCTATATATTAAACCAAAACAAGTATTTGACCAAACTAATGTTAGTGGGAGATGGTATGTGGAATTTACTGCATGTATTTCATCTGACATTGGTGTACGTTTTGGGAAGTGAAAGCACAAAGAAACAGGTTAATGGGTCATTCAGATGACATCTTGTATGTTGCCACAGCAATTTGTATTGCAGAGCTACTTTGGTTTGATCATAGAAAGAAGCTTATAAATTAGTGTTGAATGTTGTTGAAATGTTGAACATGAGATTGCAGTGCTGGGAGAAAGTCATAGATGTATCTTTTTTAATTCAGGTGTCTTTATCTTTGTGTTTGTGTCCTTTGGCACAGCAGAGAGCTGATGCCAAGTTGGCTCAGATGTTTTGGTGCTTGAGCTGGTACTTCTGAGGTTTGAAGGAAACGAGCTAGGCAACCACTGGCCCTGGTTTAGCTAAGGATTCAGTTTGATGAAAACCCTCCTGGGCTTCTATGAAAATACAACAGGATCAAATTTCAGATTTTTATTAGAAACCAACACAGTGCAAACAAGAAACTCCTTATTTAGATTATAGCACTCTAAATTATTCCCAGAGTGCATCATAAAACAAACTAAGCATCTTATTAAACATTCATCCATATTTCCAGTAGATTCATGTAACTCATAAATGTCTCCATTTGTTACTACCACCGTTTGTTTCCACCACAACTTGGCGCTCAACACCTAATGCTGACATAACTTGATTTAATCTGCTCAGGTTACTTTTATTTTAACTTTTTGTAAACATTTCCACAGAGTTAGAGTTTGTTTGTTTTATCTCAGTTCTGTAAAGAATAACGTCATTTCCAAAATCTCAGTTCGAACCGTTTTTAAAAAGTATTCTTGAAAATCTAATTTAAAAAAGCTACTTTTTATTGGACTACCTGAAAGTTGTTTCATTTAGGGCTTTCTTGTGTGTGGGGGATTCTCGTGCTCATATATAGACGTCAGTAGTCATTCATTACATATGTTGAGTAAGCAGTTACATACACAAGCAATTGTAGGTCAGATGACTGGATAAGAGTTTGTCTGTACGCTTTTCATCTTTTGTGTTGTTTGCCATATATGGCCATAGGAAGACGCGGTGTGTGCTGCATTTATCACACTGTTCGGTTAAACCACATTGAAGCTTTTTAAGTTTGCTAGAATATAAGAAAAAAAAATTCTCAGTAGGCAGGAAAATAGTTGACTATCCACAAATTCAAGATATATCTTGGCACGGATCAATAAAAAATGGATTTCAAAAAGAAGAAACAAGAAAAAAAGCCATTTGTGTTCTGTAACCAAACTGTTAGAAAACAGAAACCAGTAAAGCCATATTTGCAACAGCTAACCAACTTGACCAACGTAAATCTTATTGATGACGATCGAATTCTATCACCTTGAGAGTAACAGTGTGAATGTTTACGAAGCATTCACACTATTGTGATCCTTTTTTTTTCCAGTACGTTTTTCGGCATCTTTCTTGTTCCACAATTTTTGTGCTATTTCAACAATTAAATGTCAAAACGTTTAGCTCGTTCAGGAGAAGGGTGCTATGACTTTTGGTATTGGTGCTTTAGCTTTTTGAAATATTTAGGCTTTTCTGCCATTTTTTTCTCCTAAGAAATGAGTTGAGCTCATTTTACCTTCTTCAGATCTTTAGATATGTTTACAACCTTTTACTGCTCCTTTCACATTTTGTTCTGGTTTAGCTTCCTTGTGCAGATTTAAACATTTTTTCAGCTACTTTGAGTTAGTTTCAGCTGTTTTTTCAGCTGTTCTGTTTAGATTCTTTCATCTAACTACATTTTTATGCTTATTACTTCTTTTTGTTAATTTCAGCTTGTTATGCTCATTTCAGCTTATTTCTGCAAGTTTCATCTTTTTCTACTAATTCAGCTAATATTTAGCTGTTTTATGCTAATTTTATCTTTTTCTGCTAATTCCAAATATTTTTGCACTCATTTAAACTTTTTTCAGCCCAATTCAACAAAAATGTGCTCCCTCCATTTTCTTCTTGTAATTTAAGCTTCTTTTTGCCCTTTTTTAAGCTACTTTACAGCTGTTTGTGGCTAAATTTAGCTTTTTTCAGATAATTTCCACTTTTTTTTTTTAGCTAATTTCTGCGTCTTTCAACCTAATTGAACAAACAACAAAGTCCGTGCTCAATAATCCAGGTATACAATCCAACATTTTTCAGTCAGGTCATCTGGACAGTTTCTTTTTTTTTTGTGCTGAAACATTTCGCCTTCAATCCGGAAGGCTTCGTCAGTCAAGGAACACACAACAAAAGTGATTCTTCCGTCAACAACTTACTCCAAAGTGGAACAAACCAGTTTTGTTTGTGATTAGATGGCCTCTTTGGTACGGCCCCTCCTCCATTGCAGGCGCTCTTCTTTGTTGACGGTCGTGTCAAACTGGTTGAAAACAACAAGGTCCATGCTCAATAATCCAGGTATACAATCCAACATTAATGAGCATGGACTTTGTTGTTTTGAATCAGTTTGACACGACTGTCAACAAGGAAGAGGGCCGGCAATTGAGGACGGACCGTACCAAAGAGACCATCTTATCAAAAACAAAACTGGTTTGTTCCACTTTGGAGTAAGCTGTTGGGGGAAGAATCACTTTTGTTGTGTGTTTCCTTGACTGATGAAGCCTTCCGGATCGAAGGCGAAACGTTTCAGCACAAAAAAAAGAAACTGTCCAGATGACCTGACTGAAAAATGTTGGTCTAATTAAGCAAACATGTACTTTCTGCTTTCTTGTGTTAATTTCAGCTTGTTCTACCTTTTCAGCTAATATTTTAGCATTTTAGCTAATTTCAGCTGTTTTCAGATAAATTCATGTTTTTTCTGGTGATTTCTTCGACTTTCAGCTGAAATAACTACCGGTACTTTATGCGAATTTCAGCTTGTTATGTTCCTTTCAGATACTATTTAGCTGTTATGCTCATTTTAGCTTATTCAGCTAATTCCACATTTTTTGTACTCGTTTTAGCATTTTTTTTTTAGCCTAATTGAACAAAATTGTGCTCTCTAGACTTCCTTCTGATATTTTAAGCTTTTCTCAGCCCTTTTTTTAGCTACTTTTCAGCCTTTTTTTTTTTTTTTTTTTTTTTTTCAAATTTCAGCTTTTCTAGTTAATTCCCTAGTTTTTGTGCTCATTTCGGCTAATTTAAACTTAATTCAGCAAACGTGGTCCGTCTCCTTTCTTCTGCTAATTTAGGCTTGTTCTTCAGTTTCAGCTACATTTCAGCATGTTTTTAGCTAATTTCAGCTGTTTTTCAGCAAGCTCTTCAGCAATAAGCATTCGCACTGCATTTTCGCAGGAAATGCAAGTTCTCTAGTTACTTTTTTCCAGGTGGAATCCTCATTTGAACATTGTTAAATTATCTAGTTTTGATGTGTTTGTTCAGTAATATTGTGCCTCTCTGTTGCACTTATTATATCATTTGTAATATAAATGTATTTGAATGAATACACTTCTCATTTTAGACGTGTGCCTTTTTTTCCATTACAGAACCATCATGAAGTTCCACAGCATGAAGATGGATGAGATTAATAAGATCATCAGAGACCTGTGGCGCAGCACCTACAGGGGTCAAGGTGCACCCCATTAGAAATAAAAAACAGTCAAAGCTTTGATGCCTTATTCTACCCAGTCCTAAACTTTTGTATTGTCTTTTGCCTTTTATCTAGATATTGAATATGTGGAGATCAGATCTGATGTGGATGAGAACTCATCTGCTGGAGTGAGACGGAGGACTTACAACTACAGGGTTGTTATGGTGAAGGGAGACACAGCTTTGGATATGAGAGGACGCTGCAGTGCTGGTCAAAAGGTTAGCACTCGTGTTGCAAAAACACTTTCAGGTGTAAAAGAACAACCAAATTATATCAGCAGCAGAGATCCAATTTAAAATTACATCAATTATCTATTTTGTGCTCGTTTTTAAATCAGTCTTGCCATCTGATGTGCAGGTGTTGGCGTCCCTGATCATCCGTCTCGCTCTGGCAGAGACCTTCTGTCTGAACTGTGGGATCCTGGCCCTGGATGAACCTACTACCAATCTGGACAGGGAGAACATTGAATCGTTGGCACATGCCCTTGTAGAGTTAGTATACACACACCCATGCAGTTAAACAATAGTTAATCTCACAACTTCAACTTAAATATGTCTACAGTAATAAAAAAATGTGCACAGATTTTTCCAACATATTACATACCAGACCAGATCAAACATGTTTTGTGCTAATTGTGTGAATGCCGAGTCAACAATCACACCATTGTTTTCCTGTTTATAGTTTTTTTTTGTAAATTTCTCCCTGTTTTTTTGCAAAAGCACCTGTTTTAAGCATTTATACATCAGAACGTTCTGCTTGAACGGGACTAGCATGCCATGACTTTTAGTATTTGTAACTTTAAAACGTTTGAATTTTCTTCTATTTTAATATATATATATATTGTCCATAGATCTCTTCAATTTAATCAAAAACAAGTTATTTTCAAAATCCACTTTAGTGGACTTTTAATATTTTTGTCTTGTGCTCATTTGAGCTTTTAGCTACTGTCTTGCTAATATTACCCTTTAACAACTGTTCTACCAATTTAAGCTTTTCTCTCCAGTTTTACAAATTTTTGCTGTTTTGTTCATTTTAGCTTTTAACTACATTTTTTTTATTATAATTTAGCTTTTAGCTACGGTATCCTAACTTTATCTTTTTATTACTGTGTTGCTGATTTTAGCTTCTTTTTTTTGTTTTAACGTTAAAAACTCAGTTAACCATTCATTCTCCAACAAATTTTTGCAATCATTCAGCACTCAGAATTCATTCTCTGGTTTGTGGCATTTCTTCTTATTATTATATGTTTTATAAATGTTCTAAAATTGCGCCGCTCAAGGTGGCTGCATGTTGGAGTAGCTCTATTACTTTCATTCTGGGATTTTGCTCTTGAAAACTGTAATTCCTATTTTTTTGGATGTAAATGGCTTTTTTATGATTATTTCCTCCATCAGATGCTGTGTAGCTCAAAGGATGTTTACTGAAACATTTTTACTTTTGGATATTTATTATATGTAACCATGGCAACAAGGTAGTTTTTACAATTGGGAGCAGCTGATTAACATCTCAAAAGCTCAACTGATGCCTCAGCTACAGCCCCAAATCACAAATGAGGTTGTTTTTTTTTTTAAAAAAGGAGGTGCCGTGGATGCATCCCCATCTACCTGACAAAGGTGCTTGAGTACCTGTCCGCTGAGATCCTGGAGCTGGTGGGAAACGCAGTTTGTTACTACAAGAAGTCCAGGATCATCCCTTGACACCAGCAGCTGGCTGTCCGCAATGACGAGAAGCTCAACAAGCTGCTGGGAGGAGTGGCCAACGTTCAGGGAGGAGTTCTACCCAAGATTCAGGTGGTCCTGCTGCCAAAGAAGACCAAGAAATCCACCAAGTCCAAGTAGACAGATCAACATCTGCAGCTAGTTTCTTCAGATCTTCTCTAAGACGGACTGCTAAAACAGATCCTTCCGGCCTACATTTATCTGTCTTTCTCCAGTGAAAACAGGCGTGTCTCCCTGTGCCCCCCCCCGCTTCCCTGCTCGCACTCTTTCGTCCTGTGAATTCTTAAAAAGCCTTTTTTTTTTCTGCATACCTCCTAATTCAAAGGTTCAGCTGGTCTCCCAACAAAATTGATCAACTTCTCCCGTCAGGGTAAGGAGGACCCTCTTACCTCGACTGAAACAAATTGGATTCATGATGACAACTGTTTTTTTTTTTTTTTTGCTGTTTTGGCTGGTGAATTCTGGATTGTCTATAAATTTGTGTGGGGTGTCGAAGCTCGACAGCGCTCAGACTGAATTTGGGAGCTGTGTCAGAGAGCTGGAGCAGCTGTTATCAGGACTCTGGACTCTAGCAGCACACATGAAGGGGAAATAATCTAGGAGAAGCTGTGAGCTCGACTTTTGGCGTAAAGGATCAATTCGGCTGTTTTGGAGTTCCATCAGAGGAATATATACCAGCGAGACTTTAAAAGGCAGAAACAACAATTCATGAGTTCTGCCTGACTCCAACTGTGGCCTTTACGCCAATTATCTCAACTCCTGGAATGTTTAGAAAACAACAAAGATGCTTTGTCTCCTCATCCCTCTCTTCCCCAAGGCCGTGGACATGTGACAGAGCCTCAGCCGAGCTGGTGATGAATGACACCTCTTATTTGGACAATGGCAGGGGGGGGGGGGGGGGGCTCTGGACTATGCTACGACTTTCCCTTAAAAATTCAATGTCTTCTCCGGCCTATATGTACTTGTATAACAACGTCTGTTTATGTTGCTTTGCTGTGGTAGATTTTTTTGATGCCTCAAATCGTGCCCTGTCTAGGACACGGAGTGAGAGATCTTTTTTTATACCGTCTCTCCTCATGTTTTCTTTCCTTTTCTCATCTAAGCAAAATATTATTCTGAATAAGATTAAGAGGGTCGTGCTTTTTATAGTTGCAGCTACATGCACTCCGCGCATCTTTTGGACGACTGTACGTACATGTTCTCATTGTGCATTGATAATAAAGTTTATTCTGATTCTGATTATACAGCCATCAGCTTCTATAAAAACTCTAATGAAACCAGTATGATGAGTTACAACAACATTTCATTTTCCTTTGGGATGACTAAAGTATTTTTGAATTGAATTGAATTACTCCGCAACCCAAAAAGGAAGAAGCTGGTAAAGATGGTGGATAAATGGATGGATGAATTGAATTAAATATTATACATATATTTTCTTTTGCCAAAGACTGAAAAAAAAAAAAATGTAAAGACACTTTTTGACACAGTGATCATCTAAACGTGTTCCTTGTTTGTTTTGTGTTTGATATGTTTACATCACTCAGCAGACTCTTATTCAGATCTATTACTGTTTGAACTAAACCAATAAAAACTTTTTTGATTTTTATTTTTTTTTCTCCTTTCTCTTTTTCCAGAATCATTAAAAGTCGCTCTCGTCAGCGCAACTTCCAGCTGCTCGTCATCACCCACGATGAAGACTTTGTGGAGCTGTTGGGCCGGTCCAGCTACATCGAACACTTTTACCGTATCCGTAAAAACCAGGACCAGAACTCCGAAATCATAAAGTGCAGTATCTCCTCCCTGTCATCCTATCTCCACTGAAGCTCTTAGGTTCTGCTTTAGAAATGTGCAGCAATGCCTCAAAATCAGTTTTCTGTTGGAAATCGTTCACGTTTAGTTTTCTCGCTGTTTGAGGAAAATCCACCTTCAAATGAGTCACTTTAAATAACTTGAACGGTAACAAATTTAAATATTTAACATGCCTCAGACAGACATTGGCAGGCATTCGTGACTAAATGTGTTCATTTTTTTTCTGCAACTTCTTATGTTTTTAGTATTGAAAATAATTTTGATGTTGTTTTCTCTACGGGTTTTGAATGCATGCTTTAATAATAGTGCTTAGTGATACCAAAGTTAATTATTATGTCGTATTTTCACCAGATTTGGTGCCTGAAAAACAAAAGTGTTTGTTTAGAAATTGTTTTAAACACGATTAATAAATGGTAAAGTGACAGCACATCCTGCTTTCGGTTTCTGGCTTTAAAGTGTTTAAGAAATATAAGATCACTAAAGATGAAACTGTCTAAAAAATAGATTTTCTAAAGTAAAAAAAAAGCCAACTGCATCTGAGTCTTTAAAACGTTTAGCTTTGGCAACAGACTCCTTTGGTGTCCAAATTTTAGGTATAGCAGTTTAAACTTTCTCGTTTCTGTCTTGAGATGTTTTATCAAAAGTTTTCTAGAGCACTGAGGTTGGAGTGATTGTTGACCACAAGGTGACGGGTTTCTTCTGAAAAAAAGTGACTTTTTTCTTCTCTAAAGTAGGACGTCAACCTCAACTCTCTTATCTGTTGCATTTTACTTTTTGCACGGGGGAAACGTTAGAGGCGTGGGCAGAGCAAGTATAAATTTCGAACTTTCAGTCAAGACCTCAGAGCAACTGCATGCTTGTATCTGAACAATCAAGAACTGCTACACGAACAGATTCTTCGGCCGACGATCATCAACTATGGAGGTGGTAATGATTCTGCTAGTTTCTGCCGTGGCTCAGCTGGTCAGCCCAGCTATCGCTCCTCCTCCAAGTGTCCACCTCAATAGTATTATTGATCTGGTTAGTAACAAATCGGACACTCTAACAAAGGTAAGAGCTCCACTGAAAAATGCTACCTATATGCAACGTTTATCTTTAAAATTTGTGATAAAGTGAAAGTAATGTTCTGGCCCCGCAGGACATCTTTGTGGAGGATGTGCAGGAGCTGGTTGAAGAAGGATGTAAGGTGAGAGAGATGCTATGACTAAAAAAATCATTTTTATGTGTGATTGTTGCATATTATAAGTCAAGTTTTGTTTTCCATTCAGAAAGCATTCTTTTGCAAAGCGAAAACCATCCTGGAGCATCATAAAAGAAACGAGACCGTGCACCAGATTGTGCGTGAACTTGGCGTTTACAACAACAGATTACATGTAAGATTGTTGTGGTTTTTTTTCTATCTATATACAGCCAAAAAACGCAACCTTACTAAGAAAAGGCACTTGTTTTCTCTGTCTTGTCTGCTTTTAAAGAAATGGGAACACATTTGACTCGTCGTGCACTAAATGGACTGAATTTCTTGTTTTTCAGTTTAACTGTACAGAGATTCTGAAGAATGTGACCGCGTCAAAAGTTAAAAAGTCCATCACAAATCTGCTGGACAACCTTGTGGCTTGTAGCAGAAGTAGGAATATGAAAGGATGGAACAGCTCCACCAAAACTCCATCCAGCCCCTGACCTTTCCGATGGATTACATCTAGAATCTCACAACTCACAAAGGTCTAGTTGTAGTTCTGAACGTTGTCAATTAGAATGACAGAAAATATCTGGGCGGAAAGATTTGAAAATTCAAAATATTAATGCAATAGTTTAGTACTGCCTTGTATGTTTGTAAAATCTAGTTGTTTTTTTTTTTTGTTTGTTTTTTTTACAATGCGTACATCTTATTTATTTAATATTTTATTTAACTGTGTTTTTTCGATCTGTATTCCAATGAAATATTTATTGTAATTGTCTCACACAGCAATGAAATGTGTATCACTGAAAAATAAATGTTTTTGCCCGTGACCAGATTTGGTGCCGAGTCTGACATTGTTCTATGTGCTTTGATTTGTTTATTCTACTCTTGTGCTGATTTTAATGTGTGCTGCAACTCAAAAGACTGAATATCAGTGTATTTGTTTGCACTGTCTGCTTTTTTTTTTTTTCCCCCCTCTGGTTTTTGTTATTTAAATATAAAGATATCTTTATCACAAAATCTTTGCAAGGTTGGTTGACTGTAGGAGAGTTCTGTAAAAAAATATTCAAGCTTTCTTTTACATACTTTTTTACAGGTCCAGATGAACTTCCACCTTATTTCTTAAGGCTGGCTGCTCATATCATCACAGTCCCTGTGACCCACATCTTCAATCTCTCCATAAGACAAAACTCCATCCCAGACGCTTGGAAAACAGCCTTTGTTCTTCCTTTGCTGAAGGGAGGTGACTCCACCTCACTGAACAACTATCGACCAATCTCTAAACTGCATTTTAGCCAAGGTTCTAGAAAAACTGATAAACTCTCAAATCAAAAATTACCTGGACTCATTTAACATCTTACCTCCACATCAATCTGGTTTCAGGAAACGACACAGCACGACTGCTTCTCTGAAGGTTCTTAATGACGTTGAAGCACTGGATGCTAAGGATTATTGTGCTGCACTTTTCTTAGACCTGTCTAAAGCTTTTGACACTTTGGATCATAACATCTCGTGTCATAAGCTCTCAGAAATTGGTTTCTTAGAACACACCATTGGTTGGTTCTCTAACTATCTCTTAGACCGGAGGCAATGTGTTCAACATAATGGTACTTCCTCCAGTTATTTAACAGTCAACAATTGTGTACCACAAGGCTCAGTCTTAGGACCCACCCTCTTTACAATATACATTCGTAATGTAGGTAAAAACATCCCTGATGCATCCATACTTTTCTATGCTGATGACACAGTTGTTTATTGTCGAGCTAAAATGGTTGATAAGGCCTTCCAGCTTTTGAAATCTGCATTCAACATCATCCAGACTGATTTGTTTCACCTCAAACTTGTCCTAAATGCCGACAAAACCAAAGGGATGTTTTTTTCAAACAGGAAGTTGGTCCCAGCAGTTCTTCCTCTGATTTCATCCTCAAATGGTGTCCCGATTGAGTTTGTTGATTCCAGTGGTGGGATGTACCCAAGTACAAATACTTTGTTACTGTACTTAAGTACATTTTTCGTGTATCTGTACTTTACTTAAGTAGAGTTAAATGTGGATACTTTATACTTTTACTTCACTACATTTTACATCAAGTATCGGTACTTTCTACTACACTACATTTCTATAATGCGTTGCATTACAAGTTACATTCGTGTTGCGGCATTTTGATTTGTTTGTTACTTTGAAAGTAACCAATGGTGAGAGGGGAGCTGGTCCATTGAATCACTGCAAAGTGGGCAGGTAACGTTAGGCCCACCTTCAAGAAGAGCTGGACCAATGACATATATTCTAGTAAATATGTCACTGAGCTGGGTGCACCTGCAGCACCACTAACACACCCAAAACCGTATTCCACCACAAGAGTCAGTCAGAAGATATGCTCCACCCATGGCCTTATAGAAAGACTGCTTAGTACAACAGGACAGATTCTCTCTCCCAAAAGAGCCAGATTGGACTAAAAAATCTTTGAAAACCAACTTCTTCTGAACTTGAACAAGAAATTCTTGCTGCAATATTAAAATGTGACATTTCATGGGATGTTAGGAGACGAGATGTCTCCAAATGGCTCAACACTCGGGTCCAAGTTTTAAAAATGGTGTCAGGAAGTTAAAATATTGTTCAATATTGACCCATTACAAGGTTGAATAGACAGTATTTTAACTAGAGTTGATGACAAACTGGAGTTGAAATATCAGTTGAAATGATCAGAGCATGTTCCTTTGTCAGTTGTGTCTAATGCTCCTTTTTTTCAGGCAGACAACTTTTACTTAAATATTTTACTGCAGTTAAAATGACACATTGGTTTTGATTTGTGTTAAATAAAAACTTTCAAAGGTATAATCGTTCCTCTTTCTTATTTTGATTAATGTCATTTAACTCTGCATGTCATCCCTGAAATTCTAGCGCACAGAATCACAAGTCCAAGTGTGAACTGTGTCACAGAGTAGACACAATAAAAACGTATTATCTGCAGCATCGTTCATTAAAATGGAACAACACTATTAATGTATTACAGAAAATATACATATGGTATGCAGACTTAAAGATATTGTAGACCATTGCATTAGGTAATACATTCAGCAAGTACTTTGACTTTTAATACTTTAAGTATTTTAAAAAGCAAGTACTTATTTACTTTTACTTTAGTAAAAATGTTAATGTGGTACTTTTACTAGAGTACATTTTTGTCTGTTTATTTGTACTTTTACTTAAGTACAGTGTTTGAGTACTTTCTCCACCACTGATTGAGTCCTATAAATATTTGGGTATCTTGGTCGACTCGCATCTCTCTTAAGCTCCATGTGGAAAACTTGATAAAGAAACTGAAAGTTAAACTGGGTTTCTTTTTCAGAAACAAATCCTGTCTAACCCTGAATGCTAGAAAACGCCTTGTATCTGTGACTTTCCTTCCCTCCATTGATTACGGTGACATTATTTACATGAATGCTCCTACAAGCACCCTGCAGATGTTGGATGCTGTCTATCATGGTGCACTAAGATTCATAACTGGCTGTGATTATCGTACCCACCACTGCACCCTGTATTCACTGGTTAACTGGACATCATTAACTTCACGCAGACTCTCGCACTGGTGCATTTTCATCTTTAAATCACTTCTTGGTCTGCTGCCTTCATACATCTCCTCCTACATGTCTCTGCGTGAGTGCAGCTACAGCGTGCGCTCTCAGGACATTATTACCTGCAGTGTTCCCTCAATGAGGACTGAACTAGGCAAAAGGGCCTTCTCCTACTCCGCTCCTGTTTCTTGGAATATCTTACAAAAAGATTTGAAGCTCTCAACCTTGACCTCTAAGTGGCTTTAAGAATCTGTTGGACTCC